CAGATTCTGGCTCAAGTAGAGCTGGGATGGGTCTTATATCCTTCCAGGTAGTAAAGAAACTGCTGGTTCCAGGACCAAACTTTGAGGAGCAAAAGTTTAGCTCATACCCAGAGGATTAGGTGGAAGGTCACATTAAAAGCAAAGAAGAAAGCTGGGCACTGGTGGCTCATGCCTGCAATCCTAGCTACTCAGAAGGCAGAGATCAGTAGGATTGCAGTTCAAAGTCAACTCTGGCAAATAGATCCTATCTCAAAAAAATCCATCACAAAAAATGGCTGGTGAAGTGGCTCAAGGTGTAGGCCCTGAGTTCAATCCCCAGTACCACCAAAAAAAAGCAAAGAAGAGCCAGAAGTCCTCAAACTGTTCTGGAAGAACATGCCATTTGGGAGAAAGGGTACCAAGTCACCCACTGAAGGGTTCCAGTTTGCCTTCAAAGCCACATCCTCTGCTCCACTGGTTTGAACCACCTCACACCAGTCCCCAGAGCTGATCAGATTATGGAGTGCTACTCTACTGCTTTGGACACCAGACCGCCCATGACTCCTGCAAGTGGACTTACTGGGCACCCCTGGAGTACAATGTAGAGTAGTACGACCTCTAAACCCAATCATCTCCAAATCTATATTCTAGGACTCCTGGAAACCAACCAGGATATAGAGCAGGATCAGAGAGAAATAGTAGTGGAAGAAAAAAAAAAAAACATTCAGCAAAACTCAGTTTGTGGCTGAAAAGAAAGATCCGGAATTCCTGAGAATGTGAAAATCTGAAAAGAGGTAATCAGAAAACCAAGTCCAAGTGCAAAAGCAAATCTTCCTATTGTGTGTTTGATGCACGTCGTTCTTCAGTGGTGCACATGAGGCAGGAGAGAGCTGTTTATAGCCTGAACCCATACAGCATGGGCACGTGTGCTGGTCCAGCCCCCAATACCGCATGGTTCACCAAATCAAATTGCAGTTTAGAACCCAGTAGGCTTGGTCAGTCTTGTCTAGAACTAAGGAAAGACACCTTGAACTATTTCTTGCTCATACTGTCAGATCTGTTACCACAGACTGTTTTCCAAACTGGTGCCAGCTAACCCTCTTATTCATATACATGTATGTTACACTTGGCATCTTTTGCCTTCCTCTGAAGGGGTTAACCTTGGGACTTATTTTGACTAACAGAATGTGGCAAACACAGTGTTCTGAGTGTCCAGACATTAAGAGGCCTTGTAGTTTTCACTTTCACCCTCTTGGTATGCAGCTGCCCTATATGAATCTTGGTTTAGATTGCTGAATGTTGAGAGTCCACATGGGGAGAATGAGACCTAGCTAGCCTTCACACAGTTCAGTTCCAGCTCCAAGGATGATTCTAGCTAACACTATTGGTGCCAAAGGTACTATGCAACTAACACAAAGAATCATGGGAAATAATAAGGACCATGTCCTAAAGTTGTTTGTTATGTGGCAATGGGTGACTAAGATAGCAACTAACATAGCAAAAGCCTAAAGCCATGAGGCTTGGAGATTGGGTGTTGCCAAAGACTGGAATCTTAACCTATTCCTCAAGGCTGGAAGATAGTAAAGAAATTGTTTTTGGAGCTTTCAGAAAGGGCCAGCTATATCATGTAAAACCATATTGTTCAGCAACTCTAATACCTGCCGTAACACTGAAGGTAGGACACTGTAAAGGACTAATAGTGTTAGATCAACTAATGAGGACTGGGGATATTGCTTAGCAGTTGAGTACCTGCCTTGGATTTGAAAAGAAAATGAACATGTGGATCTGATAAGGAGCATTTTCTGACAGATGATCAAAGTTTTCATGGTATATAAGGTGATATAAAAAGAAAAGAGTTTTTTTTAAAGAAGTAAACTAAAGAAGGAACTGCTCAGTGTTCATGCAGAATTGAGGGCAGTCTCTTCATTCAGTAAGATATTCTCAAAGTAAGAGATGGTCTCATATGGTGGGTGCCTCATAGATCCTTGTAATATGCATAATTTTTAAATTTTTCTGTTTATTATTATGTGTTGGTGTCCTGAAAAACCCTTTCTGGCTGGGGAGAGATTGCTGCCAACCCACTGGGCTGGTCCAGTCTTAGAAGTTACAAATGCTTCACCAGTAAGGGCCAAGGATTTGATATGAAAACTAACAAGTGCAAATCCAGACCTCCTCTTCCTTAATCATGCCAGGTACCAGGCAACTAAGCACCACCTGTACAGCTTAGAGTCTGCAGAAATTATTCAAACTAGTAAATTTACCCTGCCTTATCTTATCTTCCAAACATAGACTAATAGAGGTTTTGGTCTAAATTTTTCTCTTGCTCCTGCCCCTTCTGCCTCCTGACCACCCTTGTGTATTTCCACAAGGCCCTGCATGGTGTACTGTGCCTCCAGAAACTATGAATTGTGAGTATGACAAACTTTTCCTGAGCCTTTCTTGTGCTTCCTCTTGTGGCCACACCTGACTGATCATCTCATAAAACAATACAGAACAGCTCCTAGCAATTTGAAGAGTATAGTACAGTATAAAGACCAGACTCAGAGTTATCTGCAGTATGTTTCTTTGCTAACTGAATGGATTATAACTAGGTACAAAGAACATCTACAAAGTTGCTAAATAGTTGTACCATGTTGCACTAAAAAAGGGACAGAGACGGTTTAAAATGAAATGAAGTCTCTAAGGTCTCAAATTCTACTAGTAGGAACCAGATTAGGTCCAAAGAAAACTCAGAATGGTTGGGCCATGGTGGTACACACCTATGACCTGTAGTCAGGAGGCTGAAGCAGGAGGAATGAAAGTTGGAGGTCAGCCTGGATTACATGGTGAGAGACCCCATTAAAAACCAAAACAAACCAACAAGCCAAACAATATAAAATAAACAAATAACAATAATTAAAAAAAACAAAGGAAACTCAGACTATTTCTTAAGGAAAAAAGAAAATGGCCTGAGTGTGTGGCTCATTTTAATAGTAGAGGACTGGCCTAGTATGCAGAAGGCCCTGGACTCTATGCTTAGCACCTCAAAAAAAAAAAAAAAAACCGCCACCACAGACACAGTGGAGCCAAGATGAGGATGAAGAAGCCACTCCCAGGGAAAAGAACTATATCATAGACTTATTTCTGCTTCCAGAGTTGGAGAAATTGATGAAATATACTGGGCTGAACTAATGACTGATACGTGTGCTCCCTTCCTCCCTTTGTGAACACAAATGCTTGTGATTATCTTAGTCCTGATTGCAGTGTGTGCTAAGGTACATATAACTAATCTTTTTGGTTTCCTTGTTTCCAAATCAAAAGAAATCCACATGGGGAGCCTCACTCAAGTCCAGAGCTGTGCAGATGAACATTTCATTTATTAGAATCAATCAAATTTTGATGATTGAAGTGACTGTGTTTTGCATGTGGAAGACATGAATTGCTATGGTCAGAGAGTGGGACTTAGCATATCATTTCCAAAGAGAGATGCCAACTACTTTACTTATTCATGGCCCTGAGTGTTGGACTTGTGTCTTACTTTCACCAATGGAATGTAGTGGATGCAATATTTTGGAATGCCAGAGCCCAGTTCTTAATAGCTTCTGAGCTTCTGATTTGGCCCTCTTACGACCCAACCACCATGTAAAGAGCCAAGCTAGTTTATAGAATGATGAGGGGCACATGCAGAAAAAGAGAGAGAGAGAGAAAGAAAGAGAGAGAGAGAGAGAAAGAGAGAGAGATGCAGTCATTTCTACACATTCTGGCTGCCCCAGTTGAGATGCCAGACATATGTGATCCAGTTTGGATTCTCTGGCCCTACACAAGCCAATCCCACCAAACACTAGGTGTATCAGAGTCCTCTCTACCAAAGAATTCCATGTGTAAATGAATAACTGTTATGTTTTAAGCCACCAAGCTGTGGATGACACATTATACAACAGTGAATACCTGAAACACCTGCTTAAATGATAGACAGAGAAGCATGCAGAAACACTGTAATCTTAGTAATTTATTCTTCACTATGACTTTCATGATTTTTGTTTATTTTTGTCTATTTTCTGAAAAACATTTGACTTTAAAATAGTATAATTAAATAACAGATTTCAAAGCATCAATAAGTAATGATTATAGGCTTGCTACCAACACATTTTGTATGTAAAGGACAAACTACTTTTACCTTTGGTCCATATAGGGCATTTAGGTATGGGCCAATGGTTATATTCTTGGATAGAATAACTCAATGCAAACATCATGGTCATACCAAGACAAAGAAAAATACATTGAAAATGAACAGGATTATCTGGCATGGTGGCACACAACTGTAATACTTGCACTCAGGAGGATTATGAGTTCTAGACAAGCTTGGATTACATAGTGCATTTGAGACCAGGTTGGGTTGCATAGTGAGACCCTGTCTCAAAAAAGTAAAGCCAAAAGCTTACTTAAAAATGTTCAGGGTCATTTTCTTTGTCCAGAGTATTTAATTTAGAAACTATTTCAGTCACTTAGGTTTCTAAAAGTTGTTCTCTGTAGTAAGCACATTTCTTTTTCCTATTCACCCAAATATGAGAGTCAAGAAATACAACTACACTGGGAAGTGTGACTCCACTATTAAAAACAGCTCTGGGGCCTGAAGGTGAATTCTATAACACGATTTGACCAAATACATGTCTCAGTGTGTAGTTAGAGAATTAGAAGTGTAACCATGCAGGTTGTACAAGACAGAATTCTGGGCTTTGCTGTTGACCGGTACCATGATGTGAAAGACGCCTCTTAAGGTTGTGCAGCAGAGCAATGCTGTATAGAGAGCCTCTTGTAAGCAAAGCTGAAATGTGGTTTTGCCATTAAAAACCTAGGGTACTAGTAAGAGCAGAGCAACATGATTTACGACAGCACGTCTACATAAATGCGATGATGTGCATGTAACCTGGGTGAAGGTGGAATTAAAAAAAACGATCTGAACTTGTCTTCTGGAGGACAAGAATACTAAGGAGTGTAAAATGTACATAAATAAAATCACGCACATAGAGGATGTAGCTTACCTGACATGCTGATGGATGAGTGTGGTTCAGATCCCAATGGGAAGACACTATGTCAACAGACTTTTTGGCCATGTTCAGTAAATTCATCCAGCCTTGGAAAAGTGATAAGTGAAATGGTGCATTTTCAGAATAGTTAAGGCCTTCAGGAATATTTTCCACCAGGGCAATTCTTAGAAAAGATTTTGAAAAACAAACAAACAAAATCTAGTCAAATTTAAAGCCATTGATCTTTCTTTACACATGCAAATTTAGACATTTGGAAAATATTGCTTAATTTTTCTTCATAATTTGCCTCTTAGATTTCTCATATACCAATCTGCTGTATTCTGAGAGTTTATGCTATTTTTCCATAGTTAGCACTCATATTTCAGAAAATCATAGTATATGACCTTGGTATTGAGTTTCAAACTAGTCTTGGGGGAAAATTAATTCAGAGCTTCTTATGTGAGCATCTTCTCTAGTAATATATTCCTGATTTTTCCCCTGCAACAATGAAACTGCTAGTGTCACAGCCAACACTATGGAGGTTGTGAACCAGGAAGAAGGGTTTGGACTTAATTTTGATGCATCTGGCAGGGACCAAGTATATTTCAGATGGGTAACTCTGTAAGCTACTTGAAACCATAAATTAAATTTTGCGTAACTTCTAGTATGATGTTGGACATATATTGGAATTCAATAAATGTGATTATTGTTGCATAACACTTCTACTGATGCTTCCCAGACTATGGTGAGAGGTAATACTGAGGAGAAAGTTATGAATTCTACCTGGTTAAGGCTTTACTAAAGTCAGAGGAAAGTAATGTATAAAACGGTAGTACTAATTTATCCCTAAATAAACTGTAATCAGCTATAGCCTAATAAGTTTGTTTTTCTTTTCATACTTTTTAATGTATTGATAACATCTCCTGTGACTACCTCTCCTTGGCATTGCACCTAAAGATGATTTTAATTCATTTCTGAATTTAGTGACACATACTTCTTAATGAAAGAATGGATAATTTTCTTCCAGTTTAGTAAACTTATATTCTTCAATTCTTGGTAGAGAAACCCCTAATTCTCATGTTATGTGCTTCCAGAACAGGGATCTGTTTGTTTATAGTTGTGTGCCCACAGACAAATATACAAAGTGAAGCTCAATGTTTAGTACGGACAAGGTCCTAGGTTTGATCTCTAATATCTCCCCCACCATAAACATACATGGACATACACACACTATAAAAATTCCACAAATGGAGCTCAATAATATATTTAGAATAGATTACAGCTTTGAACGTAGAATTCAACACTTTTTAATAAAATGGTTAACTGTAACTCTTTTGAGACTTAGCCAGCTTTTGAAAGAAAAAATAACATTGTTAATGATAATATTTCATGAAGCTAGAATATTATACCAGAGATATCTACAATTTTGTGGTCCAATAACCCCATTATCAACTACCTAAAAATTCATTTAGTGTTTCTAGACTTTTTTATAAGGACAGGGCAAGCAAATCACTAGACGTGACATAGAAATTATTATGACAAATCTCCCCAATCCTCAGAAATTTATACTGTAGTGGGACAGTCTACCTAATACATGCTGGTTCAAATAGGAAGCAGGCCCTAGTAAATGGCTGAAAGGGAGTAAGAAGTTTAATTAGTAGAATATGAACAGAAAGGAAAAAATGAGTTGTACTGGGGACATCCAGAATTGGAGGAACCTGGACCTGAATGAGTCTTCAAGATAGAACTTTTTATGAGAGAGTTGGAAGAGAAAGATACTCTAGGTAGAAGGAGGAGTTTAGTGTGCTTGGACATTTGTGAGTTGGTAAGTTAAGGGGCGTGTGAGGTAGGAGAGATGGTGGGAGTGTGTATGGTAGAGAAAACTAGCAGCATTCAAAGCCAACGCTATGGAGGCTGTGAAATAAGAAGAAGAGTTTAGACTTAATTTTGATGCATCTGGAAGCATACCTGTATGCTATTGGAAGGGTGAAAAGGAAAATTAGAAGATGACAAGCTGGTAGAAAGTAGAGGCTGTTGTAATAGTTCTTCAAAGAAAACCAGGAAGTTTGAATTAGGTCAATGGGAATAAAAAGAGGTATGCAGTAGACATGTTAGAAACCAAATCAAAAAGATGCAGTGTTTCATGGAAATGAGGAACAGGTAAAAGAGAAACAGACAACAAGGACTCTCAAATTTTCCTATAGAACAAACATGTCACCTCTGAGCTAGGCTCTAGAATCACCTCCAATGTTCTCTTTACATGGTCTTTTGCCCTTCTTAATACCATTTTCCGTACAAAGCTGGATTAATCTTTCAAAAGTGTGAATTCAAACACTGGGGCTAATTTAAACTTCCTATGGCTTCCCCACTGGTCTTAGATGCTGCTGCATCCCACATCCCACCAACGTGATTACACGACTGGCAAGAGTTCTGCAGACTGATCTGCCTCTCTACAGCTTCACAGGACTCAGATGCCCTCTCAGAGTTTAGACTACAACCACACTTAGCATCTTTTCCTCCTCTCCTGCTATTCTTTCTACACCATGGCATTTCAAGTTCATTTCCACAGTCCCAATTCCTATATTGGTCATTGGGGTATCTCTCTATAAACCTTTAAAATTTCAATTTAAACAATACTTTTTCTGATAAGATTTCCCCGTGTTCCCAAAGTAGGTGAGAGTTCCTTATTATCAACTCCCCTTTATTCTATTTATCACCCTTAAAATCACCTGTCCAAGGTTGCTCTCCTTGATAGATTATAGAGTGTGTGAAGGCAGGAACATACTCCACTGGTCTGGATCTTATAGTGCTTAACATACTGCAAATAGAGTGTCCGAAGAATGTGTGGTGAGTTTTATTCAAACAAGAACAAAGAAAATGAGGGATTGGGGTCTACTAAAAGTGACAAGAAACAAGGGAAAAGATATAAATTAAGGTTTGGGAGAGGTAATTGAGGTAGAAAAGATAGATAACCACCTATCCCAATCCCTGATGTGGGGAAAATATGGCATTTTTCTGGTTGGTAGTGTGTGAAACAAATGAGAAGATTCAAAAGGGACCATCAAAGAAGCAGAAAGACAAGAGAAGCTCAGGAGAAAGCAGTGCTATGGAAGCCAAGTAAGGAGAGGGTTAAATTTTATCTATTTCAAAACCTTCAAAGGCAACAGACAGAGGCTGAAGTTAGATATTGTAATTCTATCCACATATGAAGCCTAATGGTCTGTTAATGGATACTAGACATAGAAGAAATAAATGACTTGAGATAATAAGCAGTTTCAGCCTCCCTACAACCAATGCATATATTTAAAAACCATCCAACAAACAAAAAAGAGTCCCCCTACTAAAATCAAAATACAACAGATGCCAAACTACTACTTTTAATCTTACTTTGATAGCAAGAACATACTGAGAAAGACATGAAAAGACTCAAGAAAACCAAAAAATAGATGAAATGTAGATGCAAAATAATTATGCCAGTTGTACATGGCTCCATAGCATCTAGGCATACAAATAAGTATGGATTTCTAGTATCTTTTGCAAACTTTAGATTGGGTCTATGGGTAGAATTCATGGCTTGTCTATGAGCTTGGAGTTTTACATCTTTATTTTCCTTAATCTCTAATTAAAACACATTTATGAATATAAACAGAATCTATGATTTTGGCATATTAAGAATTTAAATTTTTTTCCAAAACAAGATGGTGCCACCCACACTGCCCTTAACAGTGCAAAGATAAGAACTACCTATAGTGAATGGAGCACCACACTTTACAGAAAGCACAGTGTTTGCAACGTGACTTGGGGTATTCTCCACAAAGTCTCCATGCAGAAATCTTTGATTCTTCCAAGATCAGGGCTGATAGCTGTGAATCTGTGAAGAATTCCCCAGCTTTTATCTTTAATAATATGGGACCTTATTTGCCCAGGGCAATGGTGAAAAAGTAAACATTGTCAATTCACTAACAGATCACCACATTCCTTCAATCTCCCCAAGGCTGTTTTCCCTGAATTCTCACCAAGAAAACACTGCATGGCAGCCTTATGATACTTCTATAGATGGTGATAGAACAGCTAGGACACTCAACCTACAACTTTAGGGTATGAGAACTGGGACAAGTTTGAAATCTTTCTTCTAGAAAAAAATGCAAAATTGATGACCATCTTAGTCAGAAAATGAAACTATTTGTTCTTTAAATGTTAACAATGAAGTTTAATTCTTTGAAAACATCAATGCCAACAGAATTGTGAATAAATTATATTCCAAACAGTTAATGATTTTTATGTTATCACTGGACCCTAACCCTACAAGGTGGGTATGTTCCAGGAAGTAAAGGTGAACCTTCATTTGTTGGATTACATCAGATCCCTAACTTTGGTGGAACTCATGCAGCTTTAGCCAGTAAGTTTCTTTACGGATGATAGAGTTACAATGCCACAGAATAAAAGAGGTACTACTGTGTTGAAAATAGTTAGAAGAGACATTGACAAGACAGAATCTTCCTGAAAACAGGGAACAAATGATATACTACATTGCAAATGGAGTAGTGCTATGGAGAACAAATGGAGAAAGTGCTATGCCACAGATACAAATGAAGCACCCCATTTCTGTAGTTTGGAATTCTAGTTATGAATTTTTGTTTATGGTTTATGGTTTACTCCTGTCAAAATGAGTTTTCTACTTGAAATGTGAGCCTGTGCTGGACTTTGGAACTGATCTTGGTAATGAGGCCCTCACTGACATGTATTACTAGCTGTATTTGGGAATCTGAGAGAATAAATGGAATGTAGGACGTTGAACACTATTTCTAAACCACTGGCTTTTGATTCTCCATATTTTGCATAGTGTCCATATGGTAAGGATATTTTAATAGCTATGTGTGCTCCCAGGTTACATATTAATACCGGGTATAAGATTTGGCATTCTACTGGTTGTCTCTTATACAACTATAATGTGCATTAGAATTATGGCAGGTTTCTGGACTATTATATTTGGATGGAATATTTCCAGCAAAAACAGTAACTTACCAAGAAGTTCCACATGAAGTAGCCAGTGAGGAGTCCCAGCCTTAGGAAATAGACCTGTCAGGTGTGGTGGTATACACCAGTAATCCCAGCACTCAGGAAGCTGAGGCAGGAGGATTGTGAGTTTGAGGCCAGCCTGGACTGCACAGTGAGATGTGTCTC